AAGTTAAGGCCGAAACAAATTGCTAACTCGTTTTGCTCGCTGACAAAAATCCATCCTGAGCATGGTTCAGTGTTTGCTAGGTTACGGACTCCAGAGTTATTCAATGGGGCTTAAATTTGGATATGTTATAGTACACACCCATTGGAACAACATTCATGAAGAATGCGGCCTCATCCGAGCTGTGTAGGTTGCTGAAACAGATCTTGCAATGTGACCCACGAAACTGGACTGTAGGAAAAATGAGTTTGTCTTTAAGCTCTTCTTCCATTCATCCAAATTAGGTCTTAACATGCTTGAATTGCATGAATTATGCTCTCTTGCTCTATTGGCCTACAAAACACACAAATAGAGGCAAATAACTCAGAATTATAGGAAACTAAGCAAAAGAAGTAAGTAAATTGGGCATGTATATGTATGAAATTATGAGCTTAACAGATATGCCCAAAGTGCATCTTCTAACTTTAGGGACCAATCTTTTCGTGAAGTTCCAACGGTCTTCTCCAAGATCTTTTTTAATTCTCGATTGGAAATTTCAACTTGCCCACTTGTTTGTGGATGATAAGGTGTAGAGACCTTATGTGTAATTCCATATTCGGCCAAAAGGGAATTGAATTGTCGGTTGCAAAAGTGCGTACCACCATCACTAATAATGGCCCGTGGAGTTCCAAAGCGAGTAAAAATATGTTTGCGGAGAAATTTTACCACCACCTTAGCATCATTAGTAGGTAGAGCCACGGCCTCCACCCATTTGGACACATAATCCACCGCAACCAAGATATATTTATACGCCATAGATGCCGGAAAAGGTCCCATAAAATCTATACCCCAAACATCAAATAATTCGACCTCAAGAATATTAAGTAATGGCATTTGATTTCGACTAGAAATATTACCCGTACGTTGGAAACGATCGCACGATGATACGAAGGTATGGGCATCCTTGAACAAAGTCGGCCAAAAGAAACCCGATTAGAGAACCTTTGCTGCAGTTTTGGTGCCTTCAAAATGCCCTCCACATGCAAGCGAGTGACAATGCCGCAAAATATTGTCTATCTCATTCTCGGGTACACATCTTCTAATGACTTGATCCGAGCAATGTTTCCACAAGTAGGGGTCGTCCCAAAAATAATGTTTCACCATGGAAAGAAATTTCTTTTTTTGAGGGGGGGAAGAATCATATGGAACGATGTTACTGACCAAATAATTCACAAAATCAGCATACCATGGAGCATCAATCGTTTGGATGTTGAGAAGTTGTTCATCGGGGAATGTTTCTAGAATGGGGACAGCGGCAATAGTTCCTTTTTCCTCTTGGACCAGCCGTGATAGGTGGTCGGCGACGACGTTTTCCGTTCCTTTCTTGTCACGAATTTCAAGATCGAATTCTTGTAGCAAGAGTATCCAACGAATCAACCTGGGTTTGGCCTCTTTCTTAGAAAGCAAATATTTCAGAGCAGCATGATCGGAATAAACAATCATTTAGACCCAATCAAATAAGAGCAGAATTTATCCAATGCAAACACTACGGCAAGCAATTCTTTTTCTGTGATGGAGTAATTTAACTGGGCATCGTTCAATGTTTGACTGGCATAAGAAATTACATGGAGTAATTTATTTTTTCTTTGACCCAAAACTGCGCCAACTGCATAGTCACTAGCATCACACATAATTTCAAATGGCAATTCCCAATCCGGTGCAACTATGATGGGTGCTGAGGTAAGCTTCTTCTTCAAAGTACTGAAAGCCTCCAAACATTATGAAGTAAAATTAAATGCGGCATCCTTGAGCAATAAATTACAAAGGGGCTTTGTAATTTTGGAAAAATCTTGAATAAATCGACGGTAAAATCCGGCATGACCCAAGAAACTTCGAATGCCCTTGACTGTGGTGGGCGGTGGCAACTTAGCAATGGTGTCAATTTTCGCTTTGTCAACTTCTATACTTCTTCCTGAAATTTGATGCCCCAAAACAATTCCCTCTTGTACCATAAAATGGCATTTTTCCCAATTTAAAACTAAATTTGTTTCTTCACATCTTTGCAAAACTAAGGCCAAGTTATGTAGACATGAATCAAAGGAAGAGCCAAAGACAGAGAAGTTGTCCATGAATACCTCAATAAAACATTCCACCATATCGGAAAAAATGCTCATCATACACCGTTGAAAAGTGGCCGGTGCATTGCATAGGCCAAATGGCATATGTCAGTACGAAAAGGTGCCAAACGGGCATGTGAATGTGGTCTTCTCTTGATCTTTAGGAGCTATTGGTATTTGATTATACCCAGAATACCCATCCAAAAAGCAGTAGTGCGAATGCCCAGCTAATCTCTCCAACATTTGATCTATGAATGGAAGCGGGAAGTGATCTTTACGGGTTGCTGAATTTAATTTTCTGTAGTCGATGCAAACTCTCCATCCAGTTGTAGTGCGGGTCGGCTGTTGTTAATATTATGTTAACTCGCAATTGTAAGGGGCAATTAGTAGTATAGCAAGACAAGTACGAGGTTGTACCCACGAAGACTGAGAAGTTAAAACTAGTTATGTACTTAGATTACCAAATTCAAGAAAGTATGAGGTTATGTCTAAAACAGAATTTAAAACAAGAGTGGTTGTGATTGTTGAACAAAAGAAGCAAAATGAAATTGCAAACAAAAACAAGTAAACAAATGTAACAAAGAGTGGTTTTAAGAGTTGGAAAACAGATTTGGAGACTAGGGCATTCGAATCACCATAACAATTCAATTCTGGGTTATAAGGAGTCAAGTAACAAGTCTAATTCATATTCAAAGATTGATTCTAGCTAAAGTATGATTAGGCCATGGTGCCTGGTTCTAACCTTGTGTTCCTAATTCCCTAATTTGATCATTTGTTGTCTAATCTAAATTAAGCATTAGGAACCCATTAAGCATAGAAGAACAATTTAAACAACCAAGTATGTATCTAATCCCTGTTGTCGAATGTCCATACATACTCTTCCTATTCATAGTTCAATTTAAATCAAAGCATGGGGTCTACTCTTGATTCAAACCAAGATAGCTAACATACAAGTTCGAATGGTGATCAATCATTCAAACAAGTATATTAACTGATAAGCATAATGAATAAAAACATGAATCATGAATCAAACTTGAAACTCCAACCTTCAAACTTATAAACCCAGAATATTCATGTTAGGTTACGTCGAAGCCCTAGTTATGGATTTAGCTACTCATAATGGAAAAGAAACTAAAACAGAAATGGGAAAACATAATGAATGCCATAAGAGTAGAAAAACCCTTTTATGAAGATCTTGTGGTGTAAAGTGCTTCTTCAAGAGCTTCTCCACGTCTAGAAGGATGTATGAAGGATATGGAGGTGATTTGGGATGGGCTTGAGTGAGTGGTGATGGCTGAGAAAGAGGAAATTCGTAGGGAAATGGAAGGGAGGTTTTCTGGAGCTGTTTTGGTGATTTTGGGGCAGTTTAGAGTATTGGGTTGATTGCTTGAGTGTTTGGGGTTGTGGGAATGTATGAGGATGATTTCTGGATGTGTTGATGGAATGATGGAAGTGTGGAGGATGGCTGAAGTGAATTTTGTAGCTTGAAGACTTCTCTATTTATAGGGCTAAGAGGGAGGAACATCATGATGAATTCCAACACCAGCATTCCTCTTTTAATACAACCCATAACTCTCACTTCAACTTGTCTATGTTAGTGTGGTTGGAATCAATTCCATCCCATACTTTTTTTGCTGCACCTCAAGCTTTCTTCACATGGGATCAAAGGTGATCAATTGTGGCTGCCTTTTGCTGCCAACCCATATGGGTTTTCTTTTGGTTGCTGGAAATAAAAGATGCTGCTGAACCAGGCTTGGTGTATGAAGGCCTCTATGTTAGTGTGGTTGGAATCAATTCCATCCCATACTTCTTTTGCTGCTGCACCTCAAGCTTTCTTCACATGGGTGTTCAAAGGTGTTCAATTGTGGCTGCCTTTTGCTGCCAACCCATGTGGGTTTTCTTTTGGTTGCTGGAAATAAAAGATGCTACTGAACCAGGCTTGGTGTATCAAGGCCTGAGATTTCAATATGTATCCAATGGGGCTTCAATTTGGATATGTCATAATAGACACCCATCGGAACAACTTTGATGAAGAATGCATTCCCATCTCAGCAGTATAAGTGTACGTTTTGGGCCTTGCAAGTTGACTGCCGAAAATAGACTGGAATGTATGGTGTGCATTTTGATGGGCCCATGGATTGGGCTTGCCTTCATCAATTGATACGTTTTAGCAGTCCATCTTGCAGTTCAGAATCTCTTCTTTCCAATCACATATTAATTGGGCCAAAATAAGTTGGGAGGAGGAAGTTAAGGCCGAAACAAATAGCTAACTCAGTCTGCTCGTTTTTGCACCATTTTGCATCTTTTCCTATCCAAAGCCACCATTGCTACCTAAGGCCCAATGAACTGAATGATAAACAGAAAAGGGATTAAAAGCACAAGTTTAACTCAATAACATAACCAAATCATAAGCTAGAGGGGTACAAAATGATGTACAATTATGAACTAATCATCGGCACCACTCATTGTTTTCATTTTTGACAACAGTGATCCCTCCTTTTTTTGGCACAACCTGCACAGGGCTCACCCAACTACTATCATATATAGGATAAATAATACCTGCATCTAGTAATTTAAGTACCTCAATTTGGACAACGTCCTTCATGTTTGGATTGAGTCGGCGTTGATGCTCAATGGAAGGTCTGAAACTGTCCTCCAATAAAATGCGGTGCATACACTTGGAAGGGCTAATTCCCTCGATATCTGCAATTGTCCATCCTATGGCAGCTTTGTGCTGTCGCAAAATTTATAACAGTTTCTCTTCCTCTGCAGTGTTCAAATTAGCCGCAATAATGACAGGAAGAGTATTATTTTCACCCAAGAAAGCATACCTTAGATGTGATGGGAGAGGCTTTAAGACCAAGGAGGGGGCAGCAATGGTGCTTGGTTGCAGCTTAGGGGGTGCTTCACCGAGTGGTTCGAATTCCGGCCACTTATCTTTAATTTTTGGCTTTGATGCATCCAAGTATTGGGCCATCTCAATAATTTCCTGATTTGCCGTCTCCTTGTTATTGTTGGGGACTAAACAAGCCTCTAATGGATCACATGGATGTTCTTTTTCAAAGTGGGAGGATATATCTCTTACCAATGTGTCCATCAGTATGCATGTTTCTTCACTTTCTGGATAGAGTAACGCTTTATACACATTGATTGCCACACTCTTGTATGCTACCCTTAAAACCACAAGACCTTGTTCAACGTCAATTAGGGTCCTCCCAGTGAGTAAGAATGGCCGGCCCAAGATGATTGGTGTATCGCCATTGGTTTCCATATCTATGACAAGAAAATCTGCGGGAAAGACAAGGGTATCAACCTTAACAATCACATCTTCGATCATGCCTTTGGGTAGTGTAATTGATCTATCCGTCATTTGCAAAGAAACAGAAGTAGATTTAATTTCCTTCCCCAAACCCATTTTTCTAGCAATAGATAGGGGCATTAAATTAATGCTAGAACCTAAATCACACAGCGCTTTATCAAAATAAATAGAACCAATTGTGCAAGGTATATCGAAACTCCCTGGATCTTTCATTTTCTCTGGCAGTTTTTGGCCTTGCAAGATGGCACTACATCTCTTGGATAGCTTTATTGTGGGGTTGTTCCCCAATTTCTTCATTGAAGTTATGATACCTTTCATGAACTTGGCATATGCGAGCATTTGTTCCAACACATCAATGAAAGGAATATTGATCTCCAATTTCTTAAGAATGTGCAAAAATTTCTCAAATTGCTCTTCAATTTTCTTGCTCTTTAAACGTTGTGGGAATGGAATTTCAGGGACATAGGATGTGGCTCTCAGTTGTCCAGTTGAACCATCTTGTTTGGCAGCTGCTGGAACAGCATTGGCCGCTGCTGGAAAAGCAGTGGCAACTGCTGGAACTTTCTTCTGCTTCTCCTTGCTTGCGGCAGGAAGCTCTCTAGCGTGCTCTTGTTCCAAATCAACGGCTGTCTTGATTGGTCGTCCGTTCCGCAATGTAATGGCCTTAGCTTGCTCAAAATTCTTCGGGTTTACTTCCGTTTGGCTGGGCAATGTACCCGACTCTCTCTCTGTCAAAACTTGAGCTAACTGCCCCATTTGAACTTCCAAATCTCTTATAGAGGCCGCTTGATTTTGTAACGTGGTCTCGGTCTTGCTCATAAATTGATTGGTGTTATTTGAGAGAGTACTCATATTTCTAGCAAGTTGAGTGAGTATGTCTTCTAACCCAACCTTTTTCTCTTGAAGTGGGAATCCAGGGGGTGGTTTCTGTGCATTCTGGTTATTACTCCAAGAGAAATTCAGGTGATTTTTCCATCCTGGGTTGTAGGTGTTGGAATATGGATTATTCCTTTGACGATTGAAATCTCCAACTTGGTTACTTGTTCAAGTGCAGAAAATGGATTCCCATTGTTGCAATCAACGCTAGAGTGACTTCCTGCACAAAATTCACAAATAGCATTAGGGGTTTGAATAGCATTGACATTTAATGAACCAAGTTGTTTAGAGAGAGTAAAAATTTGTGCAGTTAATGCAGTTATTGCGTCAACTTCATGAACTCCAGCTTTCTTAGGCATTGCACGTTCACTAGGCCATTGATAGCTGTTGGATGCCATGGTCTCAAGCAACTCGTATGCTACATCCTGCGTTTTGGCCATCAAGGCTCCTCCAGCTGCGGCATCAATGAGAGTTTTGCTGGTAGTGTCTAGCCCATTGTAGAATGTTTGGACTTGCATCCACTTTGGTAACTCATGGTATGGGCATTTGTGAAGCAGCTCCTTGTATCTCTCCCAAGCTTCATACATCTGTTCCTTGTCGAATTGTACGAATGTCATGATTTCGTTGCGGAGCCGTGCTGTCTTAGTTGGAGGAAAGAATTTAGCCAAAAATTTTGTACCTAAATCATCCCATGTAGTGATTGAATTGGGTGGTTGAGAAGTCAACCACGATTTTGCTTTCTCCTTCAATGAGAATGGAAAAAGTCTTAGGCAAATGGCATCGCTAGAAGCTCCATTAATCTTGAATGTATCGCATATTTCCAAAAAATTTGAAATATGGGTGTTGGGGTCCTCGTGAGACAGGCCACAAAAGATGGAATTATGTTGGATCATGCTCAGGATCGCTGGCTTAATTTCAAAATTGTTGGCATCGATTGTGTGGCGGTGAATGCTCGTTGATCCGGCGGTGGGAGTGCCAAATTCTCTAACCTGCCTTTGCGCTTCAGCCATGGTGGCTGGTTCTGTCAAATTTTGCTGGGGTCTTGCTTGGTTAACTCGATTGCGCTTGTGAAACGTCCTCTCGATTTCAGGGTCTAAAGGTATAAGGTTAGATATCTGCGAACGTCTTCCAAAACTCATGCACTAACTAAGCAAGTACCTGTAGAAGAAACAAAATAAAAATAAATAAATAATAAAAATAAAAATACAATTAACAAAATAATTAATTAAAAAAAATCCAAACTAAAGTTCAGACCAAAATATATCAATATCAATTTGTCTGCCGCGCAAATCTCACGGCCTGGGGTTCTGGGCCGAGGGGATGTGCGTTGACACGTGGTTTCCTGCTTTTGGGTGCGGTGCGGTTGTGCGCGGGCGTGCCAGCACGGTCTACCGTGCATCGAGGTGTTGATGAGTGTTGGATGGATAAGTGGTGCGCCTGTTTGAACTCGTCTTCTAATCAAACGATTGTAGCCGAGAGAGGAACTGGTCTCGGCTGTTAGGTTCACGGCCTGAACTACAAGGCCGTTGAGTGATGGTGTTGGTGGTGGGTTTTGGGCGGTGCTCCGGCGCGCTGCTCAGGGAGCGACGGTCGTATGATATATGGGGTGAGGGAACGAACAACAAGGATGGTGCTCCGGCGCCTTGAAAATCAAGGGTCGTATGATATATTGATGAATGGATTTTCCTTACAATCTAACACTACTCCTAGGAAAGCAAGTAAAGATATTGAAAGTGCATTACAGGAAAAAATAAGTTGCTCCGTGGGAGGCTTTGTTTTGGTGTTGAACCTTTTGAATGTAGCTCTAGCCTTGTATTTATAGGAAGAGTTCCTGGAGGAGTAATCGAGGCCTCGAGGCTGAAAATCTGCATGGTGGAGCCTGATTAGAGCAAGTGGGCAGTCCAATCGACATTTGGGATCGTGAAGTATGGTGGTGTGACCCCAGAAATCCTGGTGAATCTCGGCCCCCGCTCTTGATCGTGGGTTCTGAGCTTCTGGCCGTGGAGACGCATTTATGGCCTGGATAGCTGGTGAACCAATATCTCAAGCTGTCAGAATTCTTGTGAGAATGTCCACGTCTAATCACTCTGATCCTCATCACCAAATCCTGACCTCAGTCACTTCCCACCTTCCCTCACGCATTAAATGCTTATTTGTGGCCAGTGGGTTTGCTGCATTAAACAGGCACTACTTCATTAAATGAAGCCTGGGACCCTGTTGTCACGTGATGATTCGCATTTAATGCCTCTGGCCGTGATTTCTTCTGTCTCGGCCTCGGCCTGCACTCGAGGCCGAGATGATCATGCCTTAGCATTTTTCTTTTGTCCTCAGGAAGGCAAAGCACCCCGTTGAAACGCTGCGTTCCAGTTTTACGAGCAAGTGCCAGGGCCGAGAAAAAAGGGATCCTTCGGCCAGCTCATGACCGTGATTTATTAGGCACAAACACAATTAAAATCAGTTTAGTCCCCACAGACGGCACCAAAATTGTTAACGAAATTGCAGAGCACGAAATCGTAGTAAAATAGTGTAGTGGTGAGTGAGTATCGTTCCGCAGAGACTAAGACTAATTAACTGAGTACTGATTTGAATTACGCAAGCAATTAACAAGAATTAACTAACATAAAAAATAATAAAATTCGGCAAACACTGATGGTATGAGCACTAGGGTTCCGACTTCACCATAGCCAATAATAAAATATGGACTTATCAATATGTCTGAGTCTGCCCAAAAGGAAAATGGAAACTATAATTTGATGATGCATCAGAATAATAAGTTTATTGTAATGTAATTTCCATCTGATGGATGATGAAGAAGGTCCATTTTCTGTTGTTATCTAATCCAATAAATTTACCCCCTTGAGTCTGATGAGTTTGTGTCGAGTTGGCTTTGTATGAGACAAGCTTATGTAAGATTCGGTTTGACTTGACCTAATAATGAGTATTTTAAAAACAAGATATAAATATAAAAACAAAATTTAAAGGAAAACAAGTAACAAGGAATCTAAGTACATAAACAAATGGAAGCATATATACTCGTACTTGGATTCCGAAACAAATTAAATATTAATGTTTTGATTGGGATGTTAAAAAGGCTAACAAGTCAAGCTTAGCAAATGAATTGTGTATATATTACTATGAAATTTGTGATCACACTTATGACAAGTTTGCCACAATTTTAAGAGAGTTCGACATTGTGGTGCATCGATCAATTCAACATTGGTGGACCTACTCAAGGCCAGTTGTGGACATCTGCACACATCTCATTGAATTTGTTAACCTTTGGATGCTAAATTTATACATCAAACTAAGTTCAGAGCACTACTTATTAACAACTTCAGCCCTCACAGAGTTCTACTTAACCCACTAAACTACAATAATTAGTTTATGCAATTAAATCACAACCACGCTTCTACTAAACAAAATATTAAGTAAGTGACGGTCGATTAACTCGTTTTATTCTCTACATTAGAGATGATTTTTTTTTTAAAAGTTTAATATGTTGGTCATTTCTCTTGAGTGTAAGACAATTTATTGTCTTAATCCACGAAAAGGTGATCTTCTAATCCTAAGAGGACTCGAGTTTTGGTCTGATCAGGAGATAGAACTCAATCCCTATTAGATAATGCTTGTACAGAGCTTATTAAAATCAAACACAAGTGTTATCAGGATTCCTAATTCAACATGGATTGAAACAAATCTATTCTAATGCAAAAAGGACACTCGAATGCTTCTTGATAGGCAAGGCTTTCGTAGTGATGCATCTATAAATAGAGGTCCCTTCCCTTGCAGCAAATACACTCTCAAATCAGATCTCACCCTATCTAAGAGAAAGAGAAACTAAAGTGCTGCAAAAGAGAAGAAGACTCTCTACAAGAAATCGAGATACTCTACTGCTACCATGGCTGAACAAGGTTAGTATTATAGTTTAAAAGCTTAGTTAAGACTTACATGTGGTATCAGAGCTCTAGGCTTTTGTTCTTTAATCTGACTAATTGATCGTAAGCTATAAAGTATGCAGTTTTTCTTTTGTTTGCAAATCTTAACTGTTAAAGAGCATAAGGTTATCTCTGCTCATAGAGTTTTGACCAAAAAATTTGAAAACTGCTATGCAGAATGAGTAAGCCACAACTGCTCAGGCTGTGTAGGAGTTCTTGAATTTGACAGTTTGGTTAGAAAATTGCATCAGTGTTCATAGCCTTCTATATGATTCTCCATCCACAGATGGAAAGTTGTACAGATTGATCACAGCACTTATGGAACAATCTGGACAGTTGATTACACTGGCTTGTGAGTATCTTTACATCCACAGATGTGAGTTACTTGTGCAGGAAGCTTGTACAATTAACTGTCTAGGGTTTTGGAACATGTTAAACTTAAACCCACAAGTATGAGATGACATGTTTAAGTAAAGTTTTAGGGACAGTTTTATTTAATTTGTATTGCAAATTCTACAGTGAATCACAACTCCATCGAAACCTTAACTGGATCAAATTATAAACAAGATCTGGAAATATCTCTAGGTTTTCTGGATTACGATTTTGTGCTTATAGAGAAACCTCCCCAGGAACCAGCTATAGATGCTTCTGCAGAAACTAAGACTAAGTTTGCCAAATGGGAAAAGGCAAACAAGATGGCTATGTTAATCATGCAAAGGGCTATGTCTTCATCAGTGAAAGGAAGCATTCCTAAATCTAAGAATGCACAGCAATACTATGAGTCAATTGCACAAAGGTTCAAGGAATCTGAAAAAGCTGTCAAGACTTCCCTGCTGAATCAATTGATTGATATGAAGTATGATGGACAGGGTTGTGTGAGAGCTCATATCATGAACTTGATTAACATAGGAACAAAATTACAGGAGCTGGATATGACAGTAGATGAGGACATGATGGTCCAGTTTGCACTGAATTCATTGCCTAAAGAGTTTAAATCTCACATTGCTCAGAAGGAGACCTGGACCTTGAATGATCTTATTA